AAAAAAAAAATATATGAAAAGCAACAACAGACAATTCTAGTTTATTAGAAAAAAATAGTAACAACACATAAAACTCTTACCAATTTCTTCCCAATCCCTTTGTAACTTGCTGTATCCATGGAGTTTAAGTAAACAAACTGTTTCTTTCCAATATCCAACACAACCATAAAGAAATGAAACTTGAAGACCACAGGAAAGAAGACGTATCTGACACCATTCAATGAACCGAGCATCTGATCTAAAACAGCAACCGTACTTCTAGAAAGACTAGAAGCAAAGTGATTATAATCCTCCTTCTTCCAAGCACCTTTTTTCTTGAATTTCTCCAAGCCATTTATCAAATCAGTCTACAAATAAAGTATTATTTTTTTTTGTTAATTGACATTTAATAAGATCAATTATGGGCACAAATCGATCTAAAAATAAAGTACCTGCACATATATCGGCACAGAAACAACATCTGGATGACAACCATGCATGATCTCACCCCAGCAATCAACGAGTTGAGAATCCAACTCGTTGCCGAACAAAAGAGCACATAATGATTTGCCTTGAATCAGAATTCTGTCATTGCTCCACACAGTTTTGCTATCGAAAATTGCATTTCTAATTAGTATAGCAAAACAAGAATGAAACAATTAGGAAACTTAATTAAGTAATTTCTATTACCTCAGCTGATTGCTTGCAAGGAATGATCGGATGGCTGCAGCATCCTCTCCTTGTACGTGCTCATGGCCACAATAATCGTTTCGTCCCCGAAACACTGCCAACATGCATTCCTCAGCATCTAAATTCTGACCATCCTGCATTATAAAATAATGGACATCATTTCATAAAACAACACGAACAATGAATTAAGTTATAAAAATATAACTATTAGTTTCATTACCTCGTCATCAGAAGCCACTGTCACTGTCACTGCCACTGCCACATTTTCTTTTTTCTTTTGCCTTTTTGGACCGGAAGACGGGGGAGTCATAAAATCAGCGGGCTTTGTTTTCTTTTTCCTTCTAGCCCTCTCTCTCACCCTCTTCACCATGGAAGACTGCTGGTATGACTCACTCGGCAGTCCGCGCGGCACGTGAGAGCTCTGACTACTATGCTCCGTGTTCGGCTCATCAGACAGCCCTTTCTTGACTTGCCCTTCACTCATACCAATACCTTTGGAAACCCGAGCGATCAACCGGTCCAATTCTTCATCCACATCATCATTCTCCTTCTTAGTCCTCCCCGAGCAATCAACCGGTCCGATCATAGCCCAACTGGTGTGCCAACCATCATCACCATCACCACCCGTCTGATCATTCGACAAACCTTCTTTTTTCTCCTCTGTCTCCTCTTTGGCCTTCCCACTTGTTCCCTCTTCGACCGCCTCTTCTTTTTTTTCTTCACTTCTTTTCTCTTTCAGATCACTCTCCAACAATTGAATTTTTTTCCGTAGTTCGTCATTTTCATGACGAACGATGCTCAATAGATAGTTCTCAAAAGAACTCTGTACAATAATAGATAAACATAAATTAAACAAAAAGTTTTACAATTCATATAAATTATCAACCAAAATTAAAGAGAAACCTGTTTTTCCACCAATGGATGCTCGGCAAGAACTAGGGTTAGCGAATACACCTGCAAATCAAATCATATTGAATTAAGTACAATTCCAATTAATAATAATAATAATAACAATAATAATAATAAGAAGAAGAACAATAATAATACGAAAACATATAATACTATAAAAACTACATAAATTACCTTATGCCTCATGATTTTCTTAAGGGCTTGTGAACACCCTTCCACTGTATTAGGCAAGGTGCTCCCCGACCATCGAAATAGTCGGGGAACCGCCTCGAGTGTGGATCTCCTACCCAAAGAAGGCACACGTTCATATAGCCAAGCCTACAATACACTTCAAGATTTTAGAATTCCCCGATTTAATTTTATGGTATTAAGAAACGGAATAATCTATGCATACCATCAAACCAACAGTGCATCCATCAAAATACGATCTATCTTTGGCCTCCACATGCCGAACAAGTTCACCAAGAATAAACTTATGAGTCGCATCTCCCCATGCGTACTCTCCAGTTCGACTGACATTTTCCACATAAGGGTAAACGAACCTAGGCAATGAATAGCTAGAAGATGGAAACAAAAGGCAACTAAAAACAAAAAGGGTAAACATGCGGATAAAGTCGTCTACACGACCTTTATCCATTCCAAACTCCCACATCAACTCAACTATATCTTTTCTTTTTAAAGACTTACGGTCTCGCCGACCCCAAGATTCAAATAAAACCTTGGAGTCCAGACCGACGTCTAAATCTACACCAAGACCGTTCTCCTTTAATCCCATTGTGATGCAAAATTCAGACACATCGAAGACAAGAAACAAATTGTCACCCACAAGAAATGCATTCCTATCAATGTTATATGCATTAACTAATGCCTGAACTCTAGTGTGGGTGACAGACAAGTCCGGCATATCCAAAAAATAAAAAAAGGGACTCTTTTTTAATGCATCTTTGTGTGCATCGGTTAGAACTACACTTATCCTGTCCATTATGCCCTTGAAGTAGGAGGGCGAACACTTGCATCGGAATTCATTACCCTATCACAAAAAAAAAAAACAAATCATAACAATTTCGAACCAAAAAATTGGAAAAATTCATGCACAGCATCAAATTCATACACAGCATCAACTTTCATTTATGTGAAGCCACTCAATTTACTTACAATGATCACAGAAAATACCAAAAATTCATACACAACATCTACATTTAATGGACATAAATTGAGAACAAATTATGAACAATAGCTCGACTTTTCTGGTGTGCGGGTGGTTCAATTGATAATATACCAACTTTGTACCATTATGCATGTCAAAATATATAATTCATGAAAAATCCCTAATTTATAAAAAAACCCTAATTTATAAAAATCCCTAATTGAAGATGAATTCCAAATCATTACCTTCGATTTAGAGGAAGAAGCTTTATTCTGAGGGGATTCTGCTTTTGATTTAGAGGAAGATGCCATTGTTGCGCCGGGCTTCGACGGAGAAGAAGATCGGAGATGGAGTCGGCCGACGATGTAGAGGTTCGTTTTTTTTGGACGGAGAGTTCGTCGCTTCAAACGGGCGGCGACAGAGCTTTGCTCGTGTGGCGAACGAGGCGCGAAATTGGCGAAGAACGACGGAGGGTTTGGCCGCGAAATTGGCGAAGAACGACGGAGGGTTTGGCGTCGAGCTTTGCTCGTGGACTGAACATGAATTTCAGAAAATGGAACAAATAAAAAGAAAGTGAATAAGTTTATTACTTGTATTTATATGGGGAGTAAAATGGAACAAATATAAGGGGGTGGGGCTTCAACAATTACTCAATGCTAGATTCAATTTGATATCAAAAGTAGGAAATCCCAATTTACAAAACCCCATTAGCGCACGCAAAAAGACTCTCAATCAGCTTCACAACATAGACTGCTATTTAACGAAGTGCCAAACTGAACTGAACTCATCTAGCCCGACAAGTTCAACAACCACACGAACCCACTAAATTTCAGTACCTGATAGGAGGTGATTCTAGCGAGCGAGATACTGAGCAAGGAGACGACGAGAGTTTTAAGGGGTGCGGAATTTAAGAGGGAGCGGATGTGGTCGACAAAAAGTCTAGGAGCACCATATGCTTGCCGTCCTGAACAACCTAGCGAGCATCCTTGTGATGTCCAACGATCTATCCGTCATTTAATAGGTTTGTTGAAAATGGGAACGCAAAAAAAAAATGTAGATTTTCTTTTCCTGTAAAGAGGGGAAGGGGAAAAAACATAAACCAAAGAGAAGATGAAGGGCTCGCGTACACCACCTGGAGAACTTCAATTCGATCTTGACCATCTGATGCCAGTGAAGATGAAGGGCTCGCGTACGGGTGGCTGCCGATGGAGAAGAATCGGGGATAAAATTGCCACATAAATGCGGATCTGAAATGGTGGAACTTGAGAGAGATTTTAGGGTTCTTTCGAGCCCGCCATTGTACCTCGATGGCCGGAGATGGTGGGGCAAACTTCCCGGAGATATGGCCGACGACGGAGGGAGAATCGTGTTCGTGTTCAGAGATGAAATCGTGTCTCGGTGACGGATTTCTACTTTGAGAGAGATGAACTGAGAGCGATGAATTGAGAGAGAGATCTGAATTTTTTTCCAAATTTTTATGATTTTCAGATAAAATAAATCAATAATAATAATTTTAGTATTTATATGGGGAGTTGAGAGGAAAGAGAAATATGTATTAGGGAGTGCAGAAGAAATTTAAAAGTGGTAGGGACTGAGAAGGAAGTTGAAATGTGCATTAGGGATTTATTAGGAAATAGCCGAAAAATTAACATTAATAGAAAATAATTAATATTAAGCATTTTGACCATAGAATTGACCTGCCATTTTTTAAAAATGTTACTAATTCTTATTATATAATATATAGATTTGACGTTATTTTTCTGTGTCCCCTTTTCAAACACATTGCACACACGCACTCTCTCTCAAATTTTCAATGCAATCAACGCCATTTCCAGCGGGAAGAAAACTCGAAAAACCTCTGGCCCCCCATTTGAACGACAATGGTGTCGTCACTCGTTGAATTAAAGCATTGAGTTTTCGACTGCTTTTTAACTTGGTACGAGCTTCCGGTCCTGTTCTCTGCTCGTTTGTTCTTCTTATTCGTTTTTTCCTTCTTTCTTGTTGAATCACCTCTGGTTGAGCTACCGAGTTTGACTTGTGGCGTTTTTCTTCTTCTCAACCTCATTTGTTTTAATTGATTGAAGGGTTTCGCGAAGTTCAAGCTTGGATAAACTGAATTCGATGCTCGAACATTTCCCAGTTCAAGTTCGAGTTATGTTTGTTCCTTAGGGTTTTTCCGGAAACTCTTGTGATTGTGGTGCTCGCAGCGCAAACAATCCCCTTCTTTTTTTTTTTTTNTTTTCAACCTCTCGAATGGCTCACCCCAATCTGAAACAACCGACGAACCAATCCCCCTTCACCGGTCCCACTCACGCCCGATCACTGTCCCAGCCCGTTTCCTTTGCCAACAACTGCCTTCCTCCGCTGAGCCCTTTGCCGCCAACCGAGTCCTCCATCGTCTCCTCCAACAACTCCAACCCTAGAGATTTGTTCATGGACGACATGGACGTCAGCTCACGGGACTCGCCAGCTGTCGCTCCCAATTTCCCCTTCCAGACACCCAACGTCCTTCCCCCTCGCCGGGGGCACCGCCGATCGAGCAGCGACAGCATCCCTTTGGAACTTTCCAGAAATAGCCAGCCGGTCGAGCTGAGGATGAAGGAAACTGGCTGCCACGTGAAGTCGGAAGGTGAGGTTGTGGATGAGCTGGTCAACTCGCTGATGAGTTTGGACCACCTGTCTAGCCCGAGCCCAGGAGATAATATGAGCGGGGTTATGATTGGAAGTATGAATCAGGTCCTGCCGCTGGCCAGGCATTGCCGGAGCCTCTCGATGGACAGTGGTGTGGGGAAGTTCGGTTTGGGGGACGATTCGGGGATTTTCCCAGCGCTCGATTGTGGTCGGGAGGCGAGTCAGCTCTCACCTGGGTTGGAGTTTGGGCGTGGGGAGTTTAGTGAGGCCGATCTGAAGAAGATAATGACGGACGAGAGGCTGGCGGAGATTGCTGTCTCGGATCCTAAACGGGCGAAGAGGTATGAGTTCGGGTTTGAGTGACTTTTGTTGGATATTAAAGTATGGTTTTATTTTTTTGCGATTTATTTTGTGTGTTATTTTATTACTCTGTTTAGGATCTTGGCAAATAGGCAGTCAGCTGCTAGGTCCAAGGAGCGGAAGGTGAGGTACATATCGGAGTTGGAACACAAGGTGCAGACTTTGCAAACAGAGGCTACTACACTATCTGCTCAAGTTACTATTCTACAGGTACTGAATGTGGCATAAATTATCTTTTTTTTTTTGTTACTTGTAATTAGTGGGTGTTGTAATCTGCTACATGATGATAAAAAGGTGTAGCAATTTCAAGAGAATAGTGTAGGAAATAAATGGAGCTCACTGAGAAAAAAAAAAGGTTGAAAATTGAACATATGGAAGAAAAGTCTATATGACTGAAATGGAGCTCACTGAGAAAAAAAAAAAGGTTGAAAATTGAACATATGGAAGAAAAGTCTATATGACTGATTTGGGACCCCTCGATTGAGGACACTTTTACATTTGCTGGTTCATTTGGTGATGTAGACAGAGGACAGTCTAGTAGCAGAAATCAAAGGTTAGGTGGGAAAAAAAATGACTCAAGTGTGCCAAGGACAATGGAAACTTGTATTTAACGGCTTTATTTGTAATTTCAGCTATGAATAAATTTATATAATTAACTTGTTTATCTTCAAAAAAAATATTATCAATTAGAGAGATCCATCAAAATTTAAATTTTGTGGATGCTTTGAATTTGTTATTATCTTAATGCTTACACATAGATACTTCTGTAAAAACTTCTAATCAGCAATCAGGGGATAAAAACTGCCAATAAATATTATAACTTTTTTCTTTTTTCTTTTTCTTTTAAAGTGATCTTATCTCAGAGTTTGACTAGTTCATCTTATATTCTCACATTTACTGAACAACATTAATTGAAATGATACATCAAACTGATCAAGTGATTATACAGATTCATTTGCAATTCTTTTATTTTAAAGTTCCAAGAGAAGGCCATATTAGAGGTCTATCAGTTTAGCCTTTCCTTGATCTGTACAGCAACAGAAAATTGATTGAGTAGATTCACAATTTCATATTGCATGGTAGTTGCTTGCCCTTCATAGCAATCCATGTAGGATTACCTTTTTCCACCTAGAATAGCTCAGTTGGAACACTTTTTCCACCTTTTAAAATTCCTGAGTCATGGAACAATTCCCTGCTCCTGCCAAATATTCACTCTCCAGAAGATGTCCTTAATGTGCTTTAGGATTTTTTAGTTACTGTTTTAAAATTATTAATCATTGTATTTAGTGGACTAGTACGACCACCCCGTAAAGTTGCAAGTTGTAATTCCATAAAGGCTGTTGTTACTATTATTGTGATAGATGTGATAACTGAAGTTATGTCCCCATTACAGAAAGAATATGCTGAGTTAACCAGTCAGAATAATGAGTTGAAATTCCGTGTTCAAGCTATGGAACAACAAGCACATATCAGGGATGGTAAGCACTTTTCTCCTATTAATAAATATTGAAAATTCGCTTTAATTTATGAATTTATTTTTCTTCCGAAGACACGTGAATTTGTACCTTATGTATGTGGCAAGGCTCATTTGCTCTGGAAACTAATTTGGACTATTAAATGTCCAAACAAAGTCAGATTGTTCGTTTTCAAAGCCAGCTCGTCATCCTCTTCTCCTTATGTTAAAGCTCAGTCCCGGCTGTTCGTTGCTTAGCTCTCTCGTGCTTCTTTCCAAGCTTTCCCCCATTCAACTGCTCCTGTGTTTCCTAGTGGCAGGCATTGTACTGTTTTGAGTAGTCACCCATCTTATAAAAACCACAGATAAAGGATTCTTTAAACTAAACATGTCAATGGCTTGATTTTACATATATGCATCATAAACTTCATGACTCATCCTCCACCTATATAGTTTGTTAGCTCTGAGAGTACCATGTACAGTTTCCTGGATTTATCTTCTTTTTCTTTTCTTTCCCTTTTTTTCCCGGCCAATATAGCAGCACTTTCTTTAGTCCAGCTTTAGTTTTTTCTTTTACATTAATGCTTTAAAAAGCTCTTTGAAGGTTGTCTAGCTATAGAATCATGGCCGTCTTGCAACTTTACTATTGCCAGTAGAATCTCCAGTACCTACATGAAATTCCTGCAACACTTGTCAGACTTTATTCCCAGAAGTCGGTTTCTTTTACATCTGCCTCGTGGTAGAGCATGACTGCACTCTAAAACTTCTAATGGAAATAATTGTCTTGCCCCCTTCTTATTTCAGTATTGTGTATATTATGATGATGTATGTAAAAAACTAGGATGCACTCATATTGTGTTTCTTGGGATTTAGGCTTGGGCTCATATTTGTTAACTCTCCATTTGAACTTGTTTCTGTGACTGGTGATCCCAGATCTATCACTCCAATTTAAACCATCCAAATGTAACCCAAGTTACATCTAATTTCTCCTTATTGCAACCTAAATTTAATTGCTGTGGAAGTCTTTCGTTTAACCTTTTGGGAAAACCACAATTCATTTGTTTCTACCCTGCTTGGAAAACAAATCAAAACTTATGCATAAGTACCGGAAAATATTGTCTTAGGTTCCTACCTGCTCTTTCTGTTTTTCATTTCATTGGGAGGATGAACAGAGAGTACAAGGGAGGTGGGCCGAATAAATTGGAATTATGATTCAGTTATTTGCATTGGGGCTTAATATATTCTTGTTAGAAGTTTGCATTGTTTGATGATGAACTTTGAGACTGAGGCCCCTAATTCCAGAATTATCATCCTTTTAGCAACATTGTTTGTTCTGCTAAATGTTGCTCTGTAATGTGTATCCCCTGAGTTTTATAGAAAGCGTTTGAAATTGGTAAAAAAAAGGAGAAAGGAAAAACTCGTCTGTGCTGCACGTGACGAGATAGTAAGACCAATTGCACAAACCTCATTTTATCCTCATTTTAACTTGTAAATGTATTTTGTGTAATCAACTCCACTCATATTGCGCGAATTTGTTGTTTTTTTGAAATTGTTGGCGTTCGTTACAGGAATATTGTTGAATTTCTGATTTGTATTGCAGCTTTGCATGAGTCGTTGACTGCGGAAGTTCAACACTTAAAGCTCAGAGAAGAACGAAGAACATCAAATGGAATGGGGCATCAAATGAATATGAAACATCACGTTTTTCAAATTGCGCCCAATCAAATACAGCAAATGTCAGTGTCAGCATCTAAAACCTCGACTACAACCTCAGCTGCTCCAACCTCCGCATAGTAACTCATGTATGATGTGACGACTAAATTTAATTGGTTCAGATTTATCCGGTGGATTTTTTCAGACTATTAATGACATTATATATATACATAAGAGTATAATCATTGTAGTACATAGTAACTCTTGCGTGTTGTGTTTCATGCAAGAAATGTGTATTTTGAACTGTTGTTGCTCAGATGTAATTTTTCTTGACACAATTTCATGTGGAAAAAATAATTAAATTTATGCGTGTGTACTGTGTTTACATAATTGACTAAACTTAAATGATAAATATGCAATATATGATTACCCATTATGTGGTAACAACCCTTTATACACTTTACTGTAAATGTTCCTCACTTGCTCTCTTCATTTATCACATGCTTTCAACTCGTACTATATTATGTTGCTCATGTGCCAACTTATTAAAGTTTTTCTAACTATACTTGTTCTTCTAACATCCCTTCTAATTATATAAATTGAAGAATTTTTTTCTTCCTAACAAATCATCAAATCATATAATTTTATAGAGTTCTCTCAATTTACGATTCAAAACAATGGTTAAGTATCAATTTTGAATCTATTTTTTTCCCACAATAATTCTAAGACTTTAAGGCAGACCCAGGCCAACATACAAGAACCGAAATAAAAAAAAGAAAAATAGAAATCCGTTAATATCCAGAGAAAAACTAGCGGGAATTTTAAATTAAACTCCCCAAAACAAATAACAAGAAAAAGCCAACATTGTCTCCTGATTTCAATGAAATGAAATTTTTCTGAAAAGAAAGCTGATAATTATATATCATACCAATAAAGTCATTTAAAATTCTCGAAAACTGCAATAACTTCTTTTTTTCCCTTTTAAATTGTATAAGTAATTTTTGCCTTCATTTCACATCACAACTTGCAGCAGCATTTGCAGTAGGGTTTCTCACTTTGAAAAATTGTTCATTTTTTCAAAATCTAGAGCTCGTCTTTTCGTCTTCCTCTCGAAATCCGAGCTCCCGCCGGTTAATCGTCTCGCAACCCTTTTCCTCTGCGCATACAGGCTGCTGGCTACCGGTTATTTGGATCTCCGTTTATTTTTGTTCGTTATAATTTATTGAGCGGTTGAGTTGAGTTGGAGGGAGATGGAGGAAGAGAAGAAGGTGGAGGAGGTCCAGGGTGGGGAGTTACTATTCTGCGGCACGACGGCGTGGGATGCAATGGGCCGCCGGAGGACGGCGCCGGAGGAAAACCTGGTTTCTCCGACGAGGATACGCCCTCTCATGGGAATTGACATTCGCTTTGTCGCCTCTGGTTGCGGTAAAAAATGAGCATTCCCTTTTTGTTGATTCACTTTCTACTCTTTTTTGTTGCTAGTTTTATAGCTGTGATCTGTGTAAGTTGGATATGAACAAAACAATTTGCATTTTAGTTTTCTCAATATGTGTGGAAACCTCTCTTCCGGTGATGTTCATTCGCATTTACATTTTGAGTAAGTCCGAGGATTTGATTTTTTTCTCAATGTTCTCTGGAATGTAGTGTCTTGTCACTGTGTGGCACTGGATGTTGATGGGCGTTGTTACACATGGGGGCGCAATGAGGCACGTTGGATACTTGTAGTCAAAATTTCAGTACTTGTTGATTGTGTATGATCTCATTTCTTGTTTCGCAATGTGTGCAGAAGGGGCAGCTTGGTCATGGGGACAGAGCTCAGCGGGATAGGCCGACAATTGTTTCAGAATTGTCTCAGTTTGTAACATTTTTCCTTCTTATTTGGTGGAAAATGGATTGTATTCTATATAAGCAATTTCTGTTCGGATGCTGTATGAGAATGTCTTTGCTTTATTTGAGTATAATTAAAAATTTTATAAACCTCAAGCGTTGATTCATAAATGTTAATTTCACTCTCATCTGCGTTTACATGACATATGCTTCTATTCAGTGCAATTGAATGCCACAAATCTTTTGAAAGTAGCTAATGTAGAATAATACATCTATCAATGGAGTTCTTGCTTGATCAATTGAACGGTACTATCTCATATGATGCCATGCCTGCTGGTTAACTAGCATACATGTAATTTCAGGTATAAAGTTGTTAGAGCAGGGGCTGGCAGGAGTCATTCTGTGGTAGTGACTGAAGATGGGTTCTCTTTTGCTTTTGGATGGAATAAGCATGGGCAACTCGGGTCAGGTTCTGCAAAAAATGGTAAGTCTCTCTCTTAATTAGCTGTGAAATTCTCTATTACAGTTCCCTTAATGGGAGTAAGACAGTGGCATTGCCCGAGGTCTGTTTGTTTATTTCTGGAATCTCAACCTGTGAGATTCAAGTTGTACGGTTCTATTATCATTCATGGGGCAGTATTCCCTTGATTTCTGATGTTATTTTCTGTTTGTATGGTATAGACACTTGATTGATTGGAATGGTTATATATCTTCTAGTTTCTGTTGTGAAAACATATCTTCATTTCATTGATTCTTTCGGAATCTATTTGTGCTTAATTTTTACCCTTGGTGTTTATTTTAAATTCAATCTTTTTGCATTATATTTGGCGAAACATCTCCGAGAACTGTCCGGAGATTTTAGCAAGTATTGACATACGGATACGAATACTACTTGATTGATGTCCTGTTTACCATTCTTTATGCAGAAGTTGAATCATCTCCAGTTAGTTGTCAAGTCTCTGATGTAAAATCGGCTGTTTGTGGGGGTGATTTTACTGTGTGGTTGACTTCTGTTGAAGGATCTTCTATACTGTATGATTTGTGTCCCTTCGTTGTACATTTTTTAGAATATGTAGTTCATTACGTATCTTTCTAACTGATGCTGATGCTCTTATTAAAACTTGTTTCTCGTTTCCAAGGACTGCTGGTCTTCCACAGTATGGTCAGCTTGGGCATGGGACCGATAATGAGGTAAGAAGTTTATATCAATCACCTCATACAATTAATTAGTCTATTCCATTTTTTTGTCCTTCATTTCTTATAGAATTGATTTCTTAAACTTTGTGAAGCATTTATAGGTATGTGTATTATTCTTTGGCTAATGTCTTAGAAAATTGATAGACATTGGAAAACCCATGTAATCCATATACTATCCATATAGGTATGTGTATTATTCTATGGGTTTCAAATTGAAATGCCCCTGTAACATCTGCAATTGCATAGACATTGGAAAACCCATGTAATCCATATACTATCTTCCTTCAACATTGCTGCTTTGTACTCGTGCTATCATTGATATGAATTATTCATTAAATAAAACAACCCAACCATTATCTTTGCAGTATAACACCAAGGACAGCTCTGTAAAGCTTGCTTATGAGGCTCAATCTCGCCCAAAGGCTATAGCTTCTCTTGCTGGAGAGACTATAGTAAAAGTTGCTTGTGGAACTAATCATACAGGTATTCTTACATTCGATTTACCTTCCTCTTCTCGTTCCCTGTGTCCTGTACTGAATCATTTGTGTGCTGTTATGTGAGATAGTTAATGTGTATGTCCTGTTTGCTTGTTTGTTTGCAGTGGCTGTTGATAAGAATGGACATGTTTACACGTAAGTTGCATTGTGTGATAAAGTTTGACAAGTTCAATAAACAGATTTGAATTATCATCAAGTTCAGAACATTTGATATGTTGTTTATTTCTTTTGTTTTATTGTGACAATTGATTAGGTGGGGCTTTGGTGGTTATGGAAGGTATTGCTGCTGTTTATATTTTCTCTATGTTTGTGTTTTCGTGTAGTATTATGAAATTGATTATTTTTATGCTTTTGTAACAGGCTCGGACACAGAGAACAGAAGGATGAATGGGTTCCACGCTTGGTTGATGTTTTCACTAGGCATAATGTCTTGCCCCCTGATGCAGTTGTTTCAGCGGGTTCTGCCAATTCTGCATGTACAGCTGGTGAGGTTTAGAAGCTTCTGGCAAATGTATTCTCTTGTGCAATAATCTCCTTGTTTAATATCTATTGCTATACTTTGTTGTTTTCCTTGCACAGTCTGGTCTTAGTCTAGATGCAATTATGTTATCATCCTTGTAATTTCAAGGCGAGATAGTTTTATCCTCCTCTACATCTTGGGAACTAATGTGTGGAGGCGTGGATGGATATGGACTATTCGTTTTAGTTGCTAGCTAACTGGTGTGTAGTGTGGCTATGGTTTTCAGCATTTTACTGTTTCACGTAGTTGGTGAGTTCCACATAGCTAACCCTTGTGAATGGTGTTGTCAAATGCAATTTCTGCTTGGGATTAGGACACCTAACACATAATTACTATGGATGGTTCTCATCTGGGGTTTATATGAGCTTGGGTAATTCCACTGGCTAGTTTTCTTGCAATTTTCTGCCAATGTCGTATTAAAATGCAATGTGAACCCTACACTAGTTCTCAATACTGCCATCCTACTGTCATATTTTATGATTGATATTTTTGTTTCGTTAGAATGTAATCTTAACCTGATTTTACGCACAGTTTCTTTGAGCGCCTTAGCTGGTTTGGTGTATTGTTTCATCATCATTTAGATATGGCAATGTCTGATCAATGTTAGTCCTGCCTGATCAGGAATGTTGTTGATGGAAACTAGATTTTGGGACCTTGATGTTGAGTCCTCTGATAGAGAGATATTTCTTTAAGAATAAAGTTCTGCGAGGCTCTTAATTGATAGTTCTGTAATCCATATGTTAGAGTCTTAGATGTCGCCTTTGTTGAATCTACTGGTGCTTTTGCAGGAGGTGGACAGCTTTATATGTGGGGCAAGATAAAGAACAGTGGTGATGATTGGATGTACCCCAAGCCTCTCATGGATTTGAGGTTTTGCTTCTTGCATCATTACTGATGGCTCTAATTGGACCATGTGAATGAATAATGCTGTAATAATTTGTGCCATGCTATAAGACTAATCACACACAGGCATCAGGCACGCAAACATTGTCAACCCCAATATTATTCCTTTTTAGGCCCTCTTTTAACTTTCCTGACAAGAGCCTCGACTTAGAATATTAAGGAAAATTGAAAACTGGTTTTTGAAAATCAAGTCAAGACAACTATCTAGGCTTTCGACTGTCATTTGAGAAAAAAACCATGTCTCTAATTTCTTTTCCTTTTATGATAGGATGCATACTATTTATGTGAAATTACGTATGAAGGAGATATTTTATTATCATTTATATCCTCATAAAATGGGATATACTTTTAGTATTCATAATTTGACAACTAATGTATTCTGCAGTGGCTGGCATCTGCGCTGCATGGATTCAGGCAATGCGCACCATTTTGTCGGTGCCGATTCTTCATGTATAAGCTGGGGCCACGCTCAATCTGGGGAATTGGGATATGGACCTAATGGACAGAAGTATTATTGGTTTTAATATTTTTGACTTTTAATCAGACGTGCACATGCATCCATATCGACATTCTACAAAGACGAGTGTATTTAGAATTATGTAAAGCCCCTTGGTTTTCTGAGTCTTTCTTTTACTCCCTTATCTTTGCAGATCATCTGCAATTCCAAAGAAAGTTGACATCCTTGAGGGCATGCATGTTATCAGGTTGGTGTCGTTTTTTCTGAAGATGGAGTTGTTTTATCTTTCTTTCTTTGTCTTTTTAAATAAATTTCTTGTTTGAAACTCATTGTGGCTGCATTTCATTTTAGTGTTGCCTGTGGACTTGCCCTTTCCTTGGTGGTGGTTGATAGAACAAAGAATGCTAAGCAACTTGAAGAGGTGAACAATATCCATTGCCAATTGTTATAAAATGAACATCGAAGGAAAAAAAGAAAAAAGGAGTTAAAATTCTAAATTATCTGCTGCTAATATTGTTTCTGATTTTTCATAATAATATTTTCACATGTTTCTTGACAGCTTGAGGTGTATGATGGCAAAGCTGCTGCTGAAGGTACACTTAAATAGTCATTGCAAAAACCATTTGCATAATAAAATACAGAACATATAACCTTTTCTGAACAAGTACAAACTCATAATTCACAAACATATATATTCAAAATAGATAAATAACCCTAATGGTTGAGTATAACTATAATATCACTAACGGTTCTCAATTTTCCAATATACTGCAGTTACCCAAGCACTCGATGAGAAACCTGCTGCTGCTGCAAAAAGGACTCCCACCAAAAAGCCTCAAAATGCCAACAAGAGGAAGAAAGGAGGAGAGAGTAGTTCGGAGGATGAGGCAAACAGCGAATACGAAAGTGAAGAAAGTGATGAGATGCTTAACGGTTATGGAAAGGGCGGGAAATCAACTGGTAAAGGGAGGGCCCAAAGTACTGGGAAAAAGGGCAGTGGTCGTGGGAGGGGCAGGCCACCGTCAGGGACGAAAAGCACGGAAGCTTCTGGAGGAAAAGGAACGGGCAAGAGGGGAAGACCTAAAAAGTCGTGAACTTGGTTCATGTTATTATTATTTACTTTATTTCCCATGTTTATTTTCTTTTTAGTTGATGAAATTCGTAAAATGACTTTGCATTCTTCAGTGTTTTTTTTTTCTCTGATTTTCTTGGGTGCGTAAATTGACGTCCGGATTTTAGTTTCAGTAGACTTTTACGTGGGAGGAGAGGTCTTGTACTTTGGAATATGAGTGGCCATTAATGTATCCGACTATTTTGCTTAGCGAGAATGGTAAAAAAAGGGAAAAAAAATGAGAAAGACACAGAAAATTTTAGAGCATGCTTGGATATAAAATTTTTCAAAAAAATCTAAACATTTTTAACTTAACTATTTTTTTAACTCAACTTCACTATCATCAATATTATTAATATAATTAAATAATATCAATCAAAAAAATATTATTGAGTCATCGGATGGTTTTCTTATGGACTCATCTATAACTTTATGTATTGACACGTGTCTAATGTGTATTTATTGCAGGACAAGTGTCAATACACTATTTGTGGATAACTATGGATGGTTCCATAAGCTGAGTCATTCGATGACTATAGCAAAACCGATATCAATCAATCATCTTTACACACTACCTTACCTTAATTTAATATTTATCCACTCATATAATTTTAACTAACCATCACTTCAAAATCTCTCATACTTTACATCAAATCAACTTTAATTATTTTATTTTAAATATTATTCTAATATACCCACTAACAACTAACCCTACCAATTTTTTCAAAATTAACCAAACCAACAAAAAGATCCAAACAAAACCAAAATAATGAGTTCTTGTGTGTGTGTGTGTTTGTTTTTTTTTTTCTTGGATATTATATTTTCTGTCATGGAAAAGTTAATTGTCATTACACCCCAAGTTACGTTAATTTTAATCCGTGATTTACATGTTGAGTTCAGTTCATCAGGCAGTGTAGTTGATATTTATGACTGGGTTTTTGGTTTCAATGTGAAAATTTGCTCTATTTGGCTGCTTGGAACACTTTACTCTTGTTTCTTTTGCTCAATTTGCAACACTTTGTGTTACATTGAAGGTGAACTAAATCATATTGATTGTCTGTATGTATGTGTACTTACAAAGATGAGCAAATCTCACATTTGCCAGTGAGGAAGAGTGAGAATAAAGTCATACGCTCAATGACTTAACTGAAGGGCTATTAAAAGTTGAAACACGTTGCACAATTTATAATTTATTATTTATTATCGCTAGCCACGAAACGTTGCATTTTTTAGTGGGGATTAACTAATAATAATAAGAAAGAATAAATGTGAGTAGAAAGTTGCAATTCTCTTTGTATTTTGTACTGATTGGAACCTTTTCCTTTTTCTTTCTTCAACTTAATCTCATATGGCTGAGGTGCCCACCATTATACTTGCTTTAGAAAAAGGCTTTCATTCTGAATGTATTAACTGGGATGTTGTACTTAAAAAAACATCCCATGTTGATTGCTAAAGCTAAAATGTTACCAACAAGTATTAATCAGTTGATTTTGATTGAAGAAGGAAATTCTAATGAGGGCCTATTTCGATTTAAGTTGAAGAAATAAACTTATCAAGACAGGGTTGGTAAATAATCTGTAGCCTTTATGAAACCTCAACCAAATGATGGACACTCTCAACCTTATTTTCACGTTTAAAATATGAAAAGTCATTTTGGAGACATTTTATTTCGTTATATTTCTTCATTTTATCTTAATGGGTACATTACATGCCACAGCCCACAAGTGGAATCAAGCTTAAAATTGAAATACAAAAGGGGATGTTGTAGTCGTTGTCCAATAAGTAAGTTACACGTCTAACAGACGGCTATATATTTTCAATAGATATATATACTTTTAAACTATATGATTTAAAAATAATATAAATAAAAGTGTGATATGATATAGTCACAAATCAGATTTGGAACTCGATTAATTAATAAGAATATGGATGTAGATCAGGTTAAGAATCAGCAAGTCGGCTATGATATACGATATACAAAATTAATCTAATAGCTTTTTTATTTGTAATCGGCTTATGATATACGATATACAAAATTGATCATCTTTGATTATGATATACGATATACAAAATTGATCATCTTTGATTTGATATCTTATTACGTATGTAGACAAAATTTATATTTATTTCAATAAATAAAAGTTATATTATATAATATATTCTAGTTTAAAATAATAAGAAATATAAATTATTAGTTAAATTGATCTATCAATTCTATATGATAGGAGTTAGAAAATTTATTATATGATACGTTTTTGCGGTAAAGACGGACGTGCACGGTGTGTCCTACCGGCGATTACGGCCGGTATCGTGCACGGTCAGTTTTGTCGGCCGGATGGCGAGAGATTTTTTTTTAGAAAAAATGTTAGGGACAAAACTGTTCAAGAGAGACGGTCTTTAACAATTTAGATAATATATAATGTATGAAACATAACAAATGAAAAATATATAAATCATTTTAAGAAGCGCAACAATTGCAGCAATATCAAAATAAAGATGCCCAAAATAAAATGTAATAATATTTGCTTCCCTAATTCAAGTACACGTGTCAGTCAGGTATGCTAAGACTTGGTATATGGACCCAACTCATTGGGTCACCAAGAAAAAGATATATATAAAAAAAAAATCAATTTACGACTCAAGTTAACTTAGGTAGGAATTAGTTTTCAAGCTAATTTGAGTTCAATTAAAAAATTTATATGGTACTTAGGAAATAGACTCAGTCAACAAAAATATATATTCTTCAATGCAAGTGCAAGTAAATTGAGTCCTACTAATGTGACACCAAGAAAAAAAGAGACTCAGTCTACAAAAATATATATTCTTCAATGCAAGTGCAACTAGATTGAGTCCTACTAATGTGACAGTAAGAAAAAGAGACTCGATCAACTCTTAAGTCTATTTTAGATGCAAGTAGAGACCTAGTCTGTTTGCATTGGAGTGAAATTTGTTAATTTTACATAGTTTTATGGGTTAATTTCAAATAAAATCCTAACCTTTTGTCTAATTGCAGATAAAACTCAACTTTTTCAATTTGGAAAAAGAATATCAAACTTTTAATAAGTATTGCAATTGTGTCTCAATCACCTTCCGCCGCCGCCAACCGCCACCCGCCGACAGCCAACTTCGCCGGATGTTGAAAGTTTTTATAAGATCTTGTAGCTCTCCTCCGTGCCGACAACATATCCGAGTTTCACGAAAAAAATTCCAACAATAAGGCTTCCAATTTTCCGGTCAAAGCTCGTAGATCTATAAATTTTCTCTGGCGTTCTTTCGCAAATTCCCGGTGACTCGCTTTGACCCACGTGAATCCGAAGGTACTGTTGAGCTCCTCTCGCAAAACCGCATCTACTGACGTCCACCTTCACCAGAGCCGGTGACTTTTTCCGGTTACAACTTTTCCGGTCATCTCCTTATCGTCGGAATTTTTTCGTGAAACTCGGATATGTTGTCGGCACGGAGGAGAGCTACAAGATCATGTAAAAATTTTCAACATTCGGCGAAGTTGGCTGGTGGCAGGTGGCGGTTGACGGAGGTCCGGCGGCGGCTGAAGGTGATTGAGACACAATTGCAATACTTGTTAAAGGTTTGGTATTTTTTTGCCAAATTGAAAAGGTTGAGTTTTATTTGCAATTAGACCAAAGGTTAAGATTTTATTTGCAATTAACCCTAGTTTTATCCATGTCATCCAAGATTGAGTTTATTTACATGTCACATAGCCAAAACTAGGTCTAATGCATTGGGGATACTTGAATCATTCGTATTGGGCAATTGCATTTATTAGATAAGATAAAAATAATAATTTATTTTTTTGGTGTTAAGTTATATTAAAAATATGATAAAGATACCAAAATTCGTATTTTGTTTCATTCTCCATAAATCGAGATCACATTGGATAAATTTTGAAAAACAATTGCAATTTCTCTGTTTTAAATTATTAAGTGGTATTTTTTTAATTAGTTTATCATAATTAAAGCAATAATAAAAATTAATTGTAGATAATACTTAAAAAATAAATATTTTAGGTGGAGTTAGGTTGGTGACAAAGATAGGTGGGTTTGTATGGTTGAGTTGTGTATGTGGAAGAGAGATAAATAATTTTAATTATTAAGTTGTGTTTGGTTGGAGATAAATATGGTCTAAGTGGTGTTTGTTATAAAAAATTATGGTTTTGATTGGTTTTATTGGATGATAAAAGTTGATTGAATGATACTTTTTTGAGTTTGTATTTAAATAATATTTAAAACATAATGATTAAATTTGATGTCACTTAAACGTAGGAGAAAGATTATTGGAAATGATATATAGTTAAAATTATGTGTTTGAATGAATAACTATGTGATATTTGGGGGAAGAATGATTAATATTATTTAATTATATTTATAATATTAATAATATTTAAATTAGATTAAATTAGAGTTAAATTTTAAATTAAAAAAAATTGTAAAAAAATTATCCGACCTGAAATAACTGGTTTGTTTGAAAATCATTATATCGTCCAAACTTTGCTAATCTAACAAATTTGTATTGATTAAAATTCGGCAACTACAATGAGTATATTGATTCAAACATAAAAGTGGATAATTGCACTGCATGCAGCCAATTAATAGTCAAAACATTAATCATTGTGCACTTGATTATTACTATAATTTTGATGTTGCGAAAGGCAACAACGCCTGATTATATGTAGAGTTCAACATAGGAATCATCAATATTATTTTAAGTTGAATCATTATCTAAAACTGTTAGCTTGAAATTAACAGATAATGATGCCAGGGGTGACTAATAGGTGATGATTAGCTGTAACAACGGTTGGGAAATCTGTTGTGTTACCATAAATAATTATGACCCCACTTGTCATTTATATAATTGACATTGACAAGGGGAAATAGTAGATAATGCTAAAACAAAATGGTGGTCAAATGTTTTTAACCATCTTCGAATCCTTCATTTATTATTGATTTTGTGTATTCCTAAATTAATAAAAAAAATCCCATTATTTAACTCAAATTTTCCAACATTAAGTTTGATGTGCGCTAAATTGGTATATCATTTTTCGAACAGAGGCCAACTTGGCGTATTAAAAATAAAATTTTGCTAATATTTTATTTCGGTCCACTATATTAGTCACTTTCTAAACGAGACACTATATTGAAAATTATTAAACGTGGTACATTAACCTGAAAAATTATAAAAGATACGCCTAATCATGAAGGGCATAATATAGCCCGGATTATTTGAATTTATCAAGGGCTTGAAGTTGGCCGA